GCTAAATTCAAGTGTATTATATATTTTTTTTTGTTATTTATGTTATCGTTAGATCCTGTGGTCCTAAAAACCGATCCGAATCCGTATTTAAACTGGATTCTGGTCGGATATGGTTCCATCGATCTAAACGGAATTGGAGTTTCGTTCACATTTGTCTTAGGTAACTTACAAATAACGGATTGGTCCTGGTTTTATCCCAATCCGGTCCAATCCGGACCATGCTCACCCCTAGCCATCACCCCACCACTATGTCACAATCTCTACTTTCACCTTCGTTCCATCACCACCACCACCAAATATAAAAAAATGTATTTTTAACTTTTTTTATAAAAAATATTTTTCATTAAAAAATATTTTCTATCTAAATAAATGAAGCATAACATTGGTAAACAAGCTGATTTCAGTTAAATCTGTTCATAACTAAGAAAAATTCTTTTATTTTTAAAAAAATTATTTAGTAAGACTTTGTATTCCCTTTTTGTTTTTTCAGCAAATAAATCTTTGTACCCACAATCACGACTCATGCTTGTTTCGATTCTTTACAATTTCCTTATTTTAAAATACATTCTTACATATATATATATATATATATATATATGTTGTATAAATTGTGTGATAACATAAAACAAATAGATTCATACTCAGTAATTGAAATTTCAGAACAAACAAACCATTATGAAAATTACAATACATAACAAAATAAAATAACATAGAAAAGCAAATCGAAACCTACACTAGATAGTGTCCTTAATTTTTTTAAATAAATTTAAAAAATTCTAGATATGCATAAAATTTGACCAGAATAATGCGACAATGTTAATTAATGTGTATTTCATTTTATTGTTGAGCCAAATAAAATAAAATAAGATTGAATGTATATTTAGCTTTGGTTGTGAATCTTTAAAAAAAAGGGTTGTGAACCTTAAAAAAAAAATTAAAAAAAAAACAAAAGAAAAAAGATTGAATATATATTTAGCTTTGGTTGTGAATCTTAAAATTAAAAAAAAAATGGTTGTGAACCTTAAAAATAATAAATCCACGGACACATGTCCGAATCACTGTGCAACAAGGGTAAACCCGGGATCGCTATAGTCCCAGTTAACTTAACTCTCTTTATGCACTCTATTCTATTCTATTTAGTTTCTCTTTCAAATCTTTCTATTATCATCAAATCAAGATCCTCTCTTCTTCCTAGTTTTTTTTTTATTGATGATTTTACTGACAAATTTCAGTTCTTGATTGAATTGAAACCAATAAAAAACATAGGTGATTTGGAGGTGCCTGCTTTCACTGCTGCAATTGAGGCTCATCAGAGAAAAATTTCAGATGCGATTATGAAACATGCTTTGCAGATTTGCTCCCATAAGAACGTTAGGGCTTTCTCTTTCTCTCTCTCTCTCTCTACATATAAACTCATCAGCTTATATATATATGAGCAATGATAGTCTAATGATGTGGTAGGAAATAAAAAAAATAAAACCAAGGCCAAAACATCATATCACAGTAGGTCCACTCTCATTAGCTCCCAATCATTTTTCTATATATATATATATATGCACGTGCAATTCAAAAGAAGGTAATAGTATAAGAATAATGATAAAAAAATATGCACATATATATTCTGTGTTGCTCAAATAGGCCTTGTCCTCTTCATTTTTATATAACTATGTGTCAACATATATATTAGAATAGATATATACATACTAGCGGTCCTGTGTGCAATTCAAAAAAATGTAGTGGTAGAAGAATAATGACAAACACAAATGCGCACATGTATTTGGCGACTAAAAACAAGGTTTTTGGCGACTAAAATTTTAGTCATCAAAATTGAAATTTCTTGCAATGTAAGGATCTTCTTTGCCAAATCAATGATCTTAGTTTTAAGTCAAAATTATATAAACACCAACGGCATATACTAGATATACTAGAACGGAAAACAAACTAATTTGTGCAATTGAAAAGATCATGTGTGTGATATGAAATTTACAATCAAGGCAGTTGAGAGATTATTTATTTATTTATTTTTAAATGAAAGAAAAGTGAATCTATTTCATAATTGCTCTTACTTTTATGTTACTGCTCTTGTCAGCATATTCGGAAGGTAAATTATACGTATCTTTTTTTTTGATAACTGGGCGTCTGGATCATCTTACGCTCAACTTTGACTAATCCCAGAAAACCAATCCCACCGTTTACTTGCGGGGGTCCCATTTAAGGTCAGAGCAAACAACCAAGGAGTTTATTGAGATTAAGTGACTATTGAACCTGAGACCTAAAGGGAGCATACCTTTAGGCCTCAAGTTGTGTCGACTAGGTCAACCCCTTGAGATTCATATATCTACACCAATTAGGTGTAGATAATATAGATTAGCAGTGGATGCAAATGTATAAATTTAAACTTTTGGGCAATTTAACTTATGAGGATTGAATTAAAAAACTGTTTGAAAAGCCTACAATCAATTCGGTGAAGCTTCGTAACACATTTCTTTATTTTTGAAAATGCCCAGAGAACAGTTACGCCATACAAAAGTTCTTCAATTTTTTTTTTCCTTCCCGTCTAACATTGCTTTGTTTCATGGATTTCGGTAGGATTTTGGAAAGTGCAAGGGAAAAAGTAGATGAAATGTGAGTGAAGTATAACTACATTTTACTTACATTTCACATACCTTTTCCCTTTTCAAATCCCTACCTAAATCCATAAACTAAACACAGCCTAAAAGATCTCTGAGCTACTTGGGCTGTCGATTTCATAACACACATTGTGTGTACACAACCACCGGTATATATATATATATATGTATGGTTTCTTTGTATACATTTGATGAATGACTTTGATGTGGTCCATTGCTAAGTTATATTGTCAATCTTTCTCCTTTACATTGAGATGAATCCAGTGAATTCGGCTGTCTTCGCCACTGCTGACATGGCAAAATTAGAGTATGGAATTCAATGGACTTAGTACACCTACCTCACTGCAAAGGAGCTAAGCAGTTGCTTAACATCATCATCATACAAAACAATGTCATGGGCTCATTTGAGATTTTGGTTTCTCTACTTGTTTTATAGGTAAAAAATGTCAAAATCCAAATAGTGGTTGGAGATCCAAAGGAGAAGGCATGTGAAGCTATTGAGGAATTGCATGCTGATCTGCTTGTCATGGGTTCTCGAGCTTTTGGTCCCTTTAAAAGGTATAAATCTTTCTTCGAAAGGGTAATTATTTTAGTTTAGGTGCATGTGTGGTCATCTTGCTATGATATGACTATTCCATTTTATTTTAGATAACATTTTTTGACACGAATGAACCCACTGAAGAAAATTGGACAAAAGACTACAATTGATGGTATTAGGATTTAGTTTTCATGAAATAAAGTTCTTCCAAACTTTTATATATTTCATGTTAGCATAAATTAGATTAAGAAATAATAAGAAATTTATGTTTTATAGTGATGAAAAAATTGAACCCGTAGGTTGTTATGATTACGTGGAGTTGACAAAGTTGGCTAATACGATGGAGAGCATTTCCACTAAAGTGATTGACAACAATTTATTTAATGGAATGATTGGCCTATGATGGTTCCAATTGAAGATAAAATGAGGGAAAATAGTTTCAGATGGTATCTCCATCGGCAATGTAGGCTAGCAAATGCGCGTCACATGGTAAGATAATAATGTTGTTACATGGTCTTGGGTAGAACTCAATCCCAAAACTTGCTGCTGAGGTGAGGCTGCCTCCACGCTTATATATTGCACATTACTTTTGTACCTAGGCAGTGTGAGACTTCTTTCAACACCCACCCTCACGCACAACGTGCTCACTCGGTAGCACCTATTGTGTGCAGGCTAGGGACACAACCCTACCTATCTGTGGGTAGTTCGACTCGAATGCCATGTTGCACATTTTGCGTAGAACTCAACCCCAAAAGCTAGTTGTTAAGGTGAAGGGCGCTTTCGCGCTTATATATTGCACATTACTTTTGTACTTAGGTAATGTGGTACTTCGCTTCACAAATGCCACATAGGATGCTTAGATTTTTGTCATCTACAACCATTTCTTGTTCAATTTCTCGAATTGCCTCTCTATTTCTGATTGCATGACATGATCTATGCTATTTTCTTCCCCCCCTCCCCTTTTTTTTTTCTTTCTTGTTTCCTTCCTTTCTCATTGTTTTCTAATGTCGTGCGATTTTTTTTTTGTATATGAAGAGTTTCAAATTATATATGTGCTTCATTATTTTAGCTGATCACACCAGCAGAGGTGAGCTAAAATAAGAGGCAGATTCAAGATTTGTGTATAGTGGGGGAAAAATTTATATAGACTCATAAGCAATTTATTTTTTCCTGATTGATAGTCGGAGTTAAAAATAAAGTTTAATAACATTGATAAAATATAAATTTCATTAAGAAATTACCTTGACAAATTTTTCATATTTTTAAAAGGAAAAATAAATTGTCATTGGATGAATTTCATCATTTTTTGTAACCTTCTATGTGGATTTACACAACAAATGCCTTGTGTAGACGTAGGTCGTATTATATCTTCATTTGAAATGCTATTAAATGTTTATCCCATTTGTTGAGATTTATCGTTCTTTCTACCAAAAAGCTTTAGGGAAGAGAGTGTTCTTGTGCGTTATAATTACTTCTTAAGCTTTTCTATGATTTTTAAATGGTACATGTGAAGCTGTGAAGCACGTGTTAGAGAGAGATAAGAGTAAGAAAGGAGATCATCTCCTAATTGATGAGCATGCGAGGGAAACGAGAGAGATCGAATAGATGGGAAAACGTTAAATAGAGATGATTCAGACCCCCACCACCTCCACACACACGTGGGGGCAAGGAGAGGAGGGCAAAAAAAAAAAAAAAAACCAAATTGGACCAATCAGATTTCACTAGGGGTGGTGGGAGTCATCCCAGTGGGGTCTCACTCTTTTCTCAACGTTAAAAACATAGAGACCAATCATGGAGAGCACAAGAAGTGTTAAGGCCAAACATAACCCGATAACCAATGGGGTGGAAGTCCTATTGGGAGCATGAACGTATTTAGTGGGGGCAAATTTTCTTTCAATTACCACATTTTTTATTTGACAATATAATTTTTTTTGATACAACGAAGGTCGTAGCATACTAGCATGGGTTTGGGGGCACTTAAACCTTTGATCTCCTAGTGAGGTGTAGGGATTTTAGCCAATTGGGCTAGCCCCAGTTGGTTGTAGACAAAATAATATCTACAATATTGTAGTTTTTTCAAAAGTTGAGTGGCCTAATGTAAATCCACTAGTTTGAAATGCAGATTTTAGAGGTGTCCGAATAATCTAGGCAAACATGTGATTGATGTGTTTGTAAATTTGTTATTTCTTGTCTCTGAATAGGATGTTTCTGGGAAGTGTAAGCAACTATTGCTTAAACTATAAAAATTTATCTCAAATTTGATTCTCATAAATTGTGTACCTTACCTTTCTAGCATAAAAAAAAAGAAGAGAAAACTGTGTGTGCTGTTTTCTGACCATATTGCCAAACAGGTACTCAGCTGGAGAACACTGGCAGAATAGATTGCGCCGAACGACCTGTCACAGAAAGAAAAGACTCCGGCGGTGGTTCTTCCACCCGGGGGCACTACAACGATCAAGTTAGTAATCAATATCTCTCAAAGATAACAAATTGTGCTTAACTCACAATGCCAGAATATAAAACGTACCTTAGACCCACGAGGGTGCCTTACTTTTATAGCCAGTATTAACCTGTTCCTTGTAGAAGCCTAGCTTCAATGGACTCTGGCTTAATGCTTATCTTGGACTCTCAATTAGATAGAGATAAACTCCCTAAGAGCTTTATCTTTATCCAGACTGAGGTCCTTCTCCATTCTAGGACTCTTATAACTTATCCGTTTATCCCGGACTCCGACATCCCCGCAGATAACCTCGACCTAGCCGAGATCATCTCGGCGTCATGACCAAGACACGTGGCACCTTGGCTGGCACTTCAGTGCCACCTTGGCCACGTGTTGTCATTCAAAAAATATGTCCCCACAACTGCCCCCTAGGTTCTATCACCTCGGCATCCTGAGGTAATAGAACCTATATTATTTGACCATATAGAACTTTGGCTAAGCTTGCTCTACCCTTTATTACCGAGGTTATCACACATTGGCTTTCATATGACAAAAACTTCTGTGTGTTTGCATCAATGCTTTAGAACCAAGAACCAAGTTTTTTCAAGCTCTTTAGCCGAGATCGTCCCCCTAGCCGAGGTCTTTGCTTCATTAAATCAAGAACTTCAAGAGTTTTTACACGCGTATGAGCTGTCACGCACAATAATTCAACCGTTTTTGCCACGCGTCTCTTCTTCATTAAATCGTACTTGACACACGCCATTAAGTCGCCTTGCGTCTGCGTGCGCCGTGTCCGTGCGCCGTCTGACATGCACGTTGTCCTAGGCACACTAATTGCGATTTGTCGCCTTTTCATGTTTTGACAAAAACACTCTCTCTCTTTTCGTCTTTTCACTTCACATTTTCTGATTTCTCTTTGTGCTTCAAGCTTTTCTCTCTCTAAACCACCATTGTCATCTTCCCAAAGCTTTCTACAACCACTTCCGTTCACCTCCTTCGGCGAAGCTTTTGCTGTTTTTTCTGTTCACTGCCACCGTCTTAGCCCGGCGTTATCTACACCGGCCTCCATTTCTTTGGTAATTCAGTATTCCCCCTTGTTTCAATTCCTTGTTTTACTTCAAACTTTGCTATGCTTGTATACTGCCATTGCAAATCTATTCATGCTCTTAAATAGTGTTGAATTCCACCATTCGTCATCTGTTTCATGATTCTATCTTTGTACAATCTGTTGTTGGTATACACACACATATACACACATGTTGACATTCTTAATAGCTTGTCATTGTTCTTAATTTTGCTTTCTGCGTTCTGAACCAAACACATACTCGTTGTTCTGCTACGAAACTTGGCTTTGTATATCTGTACTTCTATCATTAAAATGTTCTTGAATTTCTTGTTCTATCTTCTTGAGTCTGAATCATGTTCTTGTTTCTATTTTCTTGTTGCATTTTGCCAGATTCTTGCCTCAAATTTCCCATTTTCACATAGTTTTTAGGCTTGGGTTTTGATAGAAGCCATTATCCCTAGGAAAATTGGAACAAATTTCCCTAGATCCTAAAAAACCCTTGCCCTTGCTTCTGTTCTGAGTTTAAGCTGTGGTCCCTCAAACCTTAACAATCCACTTCCTTCTGAAATCCAACACCTTCCCATTTAGCCGACGTTATGGGTATGTTTAGGTGGAGCGTAGACACCCCATCTAAGCTAGCATACTTTAGGCAGGAGTTTGCCATCCCTGCCGATGTTCACCTTAGGTTGGCTGGGGAGAAGGACTCCATTATGCCAAAAGATGACTCCATGTCATTCCCAGTTGTAGCCTTTATAGAGTGTGGACTTAGGCTCCCTTTTGACATCCTCTTCCGAGAAGTTCTTCACTGTTATAAACTCAACCCAATACAATTAGCTATTAACTCTTACAGAGTCATCAACGGTATCATTGCCTTAGCTAGCTAAGAAAATGCTAGGGTAATTCTAGTTGACATCCAGTATTGCTACACCATGTGTGGCCTTAAGTCAGAAAAAGGCTACATTTACTACCTTAAGCCGAGGTCGACGAAATACAAATTCATCGCCGACTTCCCTGATTCCAACAAGGGCGCCGGGGACGATTATTTCATCGTCTCGGGCAACTGGGAGTTCCTTCCAGATGATGACCTTCACCTCTACCCTTTAAGCCGTACATTGTTCAGAGAGGGAGATGGTAAGAGCCAAGTGTTACTTTTACTTGCTTCTCAAGTCTTTAATACTTAGTTCCTTCTAAATGTTCTAATATCTATTTTTTCCTTGCAGCTCTTCCTCAACCTCCAAAGGATTTTCGCAAAAACTTCTATCCCAGCAAGGATTTCAAAAAGCTATTGGGTCTACCAGTTGACCAACGAAAAGGCCCTTTGCCGCTCAACTACATCCCGACTTACAAATCTGTACTTCCCGACGTCCCAAGAAAAAGCAAGTCTCCTCATTCAGTAATAACTCCTCAAGCTGAATTATTAAGGCCTGACCAAGGATCAACATCTGGTCCTATGGAGCAACCATCAACCTCTGCTCCACAACTAATCCCACCTTTTCAACACCAACGCCGACGTCGAACTCCACTGCACGCACCAGCAGGAAAAACTCAAAGCTGAAGACGCTGAAGTGCTGAGTTGTCCTTATACGATCCAGCCAACCCCCCAACTGCTCTTCCAGCGATCCATTTCGGCACTAAGGTCACCGTTGCTGTTTTCGCCAACGAGATGGGTCGTAAAAAGGCTGTAGCAGACAACCTTCTAGCCGACATCCCCAACACTGTCACCGTACAATCTTCACTATTGCAATCTCAGCCAAAACCAAAACCAAAACCAAAACCAAAGAGGCTGAAGAAAGCCCAAGCAAAGGCAACGGTAACTCAGATTGATTTTGAGGATACCTTGCCGATCTCAAAAATGGCCAAGGTGGAAAAAAGTGCCTCTGCAGCCATAAAGAGGGCAGCAGAGGCTGCTCCCTCTGAATCCACCCGGTCAAAGAAGCCAAGGTCAGAGTCTGCCACAACCTCGGGGTCCTTGAAATCTAATGCCCCCTGGGCCTCTCTAATCACCATTGAGGATAAGCCAGTCAGAGTCGGCGACAACGCGACTGACATTGAAGTCGGTATTGCCCTCTCTACTGCCTTGCTTTTCCCCAAAGACCTCGAACGCAACACCGAGGTCAGCGAATATGAAAACTTCATTCTGTAGGTACAACAGTCCGTACAAGTAAGCCCTTAATACTTGGTACTTTCTGTTTCTTCCATACTTAGAGAGTTTTACTAACTTTGTTTTTTCCCTTTCTTCTAGGCGATCTAGCACGCCTACTCCTTCGCGATGCAGGCCTTCGACATTAAGAAGGAGTTGACCCGCAAGACGAAGGAGGTTGCTGGCTTGCTCAGAACCATCAATAAGGCTGAGGCCAAGATGAAGACTTTGATAGATCAAGCCAAGGAAGCAAAACGAGCCCAAGACGAAGTCAAGGAAAGGGCGGGGGCTGCTGTGGCTATTGCTGAGGTCCTCAAGGTCAAGAAGAAAGAGGTCGAAGAAAAAACTGCCGAAGCCCAAACCAAGCTCATCGCTGCCTTGGCCACAGAGGACGCCGAGATCAAAGTAGCAGACGATAAGGTATACGCCGAGGGGGAAGCCGACGTCCGTGAGGACTACAAAAAATAGGTCAGAGAGGCATGCAACAAGGGCTTCACCCTTGGTTGGATGTCCGCTCTAAAAGAGTTAGCTGTTCCCGAGGACTCTCCTTTGAGGGACGTAGGCCGACTTGTGGTGCCATTCCCACCCACTTCAAGCCAGTCTGAGGCAAAGGCTGGGGAAGAAGATGAAGAGGAAGAAGGACAGGAAGTCAAAGATGAAGAGGCTGAGGTGGCCGTTACTGAAGATCCTGCTAGGACCAAGTCCCCAACTCTGAATGATCAAGTAGACTTGACTTAGGATGATGATGACGAGGTCTCAAAAAATGCCTCTCCCCAGAAGACATCATTCGAGGTGCCAATCGCCGAGAGGAGATTGATCAGACTTTACGAGAGCCTCGACCGAGAAGGCTGCCGAGAAGATTCCCTAATTGTCTTTCTGGGCTGAGACGCAACCCGTCACTGACGCTGCCTAGTCTTGCTATTGACTCTTTCTTTGTACTTAGTAGTTTCCTGAACAATGTTTTCAGTTTTCATATTTAGCTGACGTGCCCCTTTTTGTAATCAGAACAAGTAGTGTTTTTGTAGGCCGAAGTGCCATTTTTCTTCTTTTAATGCGAGTACAACTTCTTTTTTGACTAAGTGTTTGAATGCTTGTCTTTCTTTTACTGTCTTGTAGGATTCCATACTTAGAATATTTTGCATGTTTTCAAGTACACCTTAATTATGTAATCTTTTCAGGATAAAATACCTCAGATATACCCACTAATTGTTTATCTTGGCCTTGGTTTAACACTTGAAAACATTTTGTAGAAATATTTCACAAGTGTTTATTTAAAACTTGCCACTTTACTCTCACTTATCAAGACTTCTGTCTTCCATTACCTTCCAAGTCTTGGCAACATGGTAATCTCGGCAAGTATGTAGATACTTCTTTCAACATCACCTTGGCTTAATTTTAACTTGTAAAGTTTTATTAAAATTTCAACAAGTGTTAAACCAATCTTCTTTCAACATAACCGTGGCTTAACTGCAACTTGTAAATTTTTCTCAAAATTTCAACAAGTGTTAAACCAACTTTAGCTTGTAAATTCCAACTTCCAAGCATTATTCTCCAGCTCTCTGCTCCCTAATGTGAACTTAAGTTTCACTTATGTTCACATTAAGCATGTACCTATGATCTTGTCGCCGAGATCAGATTCAAACAAAGACTGGCCGAGGTTATCAACCTTGGTCTCTCTGTTAATCTAACTGACATGTACTTAGGGTCATTCAAAGTTTTCATTCTGATGACACAGCAAATCTAGGTTAATTCAACTTAGTTCAACTCGATTATATGCAAGTATAATTTCAACTCTGCCATATAACGAGTCTAAGTTATTCGTCATGTTTCAATCAGAAACATTGCCAACTTAGTTCAACTCTATTATATGTAAGTATAATTCAACTCTGTCATATAATAAGTCTAAGTTATTCGTCATGTTTCAATCAGAAACATCGCTGAGTGACTGGTCAATCGTTTTACACAAGTTTAGAAATCAAAAATCGAGCTAAAATTTTATTAATTACTTGAGCTAATAACAAAAGATTTTAAAGAAAAAAACAAATTGAAATCTTAATGATAGAAGAACTTCAGGTTGAAAGTATTCTAGGGTCTTGGCAATTCTTTGCCTTCACTGTCTTCAAGCCGATATGCACCATTGCCCGAGACCGAGATGATTCTATAAGGTCCCTTCCAGTTTGGGCCAAGCTTGCCCTCTCTGGGATCCTTCTTGTTGCCAACGACCTTTCTCAGGACAAGGTCCCTAACTTGAAATTCTCGCGGGTTGACCTTTTTGTTGTAAGCCTTGGCAAGATGCTGCTAGTATGCTACTAGCTGAATTGTTGTCTTCTCCCTTATTTCTTCTAATAGATCTAGATCTCGGGCTAAAAATGCATCATTATTCCCATTTTCCACTCCCTGGGTTCTAACCCCTGGGATGCCGACCTCCAATGGGATTACTGCCTCTGTGCCGTAAGCCATGGCAAATGGGGATTCTCCAGTTGATCTTCTCGGCGTAGTCCGATATGCCCAGAGTACACTGGGCAACTCATCCACCTATTTTCCCTTTGCTGCTTCTAGCCTCTTCTTAATCTATCCAATATAGTTTTGTTGGATGCTTCTGCCTGTCCATTGCTTTGAGGGAAGCTTGGAGTAGAATAGTAGTTCTTGATCTTGTACTTTGCACATAAGTTTTTGATTAGCTTACTATCAAACTGTGTACCACTGTGTGCTATTATTGCCCTTAGGATCCCAAACCTGGTGATGATGTTCTTCCATATGAAGTTGTAGCATACTAGCATGGGTTTGGGGGCACTTAAACCTTTGATCTCCTTAGTGAGGTATAGGGATTTTAGCTAATTGGGCTAGCCCCAGTTGGTTGTAGACAAAATAATATCTACAATATTGTAGTTTATTCGAAAGTTGAGTGGCCTAATGTAAATCCACTAGTTTGAAATGCAGATTTTAGAGGTGTCCGAATAATCTAGGCAAACATGTGATTGATGTGTTTGTAAATTTGTTATTTCTTGTCTCTGAACAGGATGTTTCTGGGAAGTGTAAGCAACTATTGCTTAAACTATAAAAATTCATCTCAAATTTGATTCTCATAAATTGTGTACCTTATCTTTCTAGCATAAAAAAAAGAAGAGAAAACTGTGTGTGCTGTTTTCTGACCATATTGCCAAACAGGTACTCAGCTGGAGAACACTGGCAGAATAGATTGCGCCGAACGACCTGTCACAGAAAGAAAAGACTCCGGCGGTGGTTCTTCCACCCAGGGGCACTCCAACGATCAAGTTAGTAATCAATATCTCTCAAAGATAACAAATTGTGCTTAACTCACAATGCCAGAATATAAAACGTACCTTAGATCCACGAGGGTACCTTACTTTTATAGCCAGCATTGACCTATTCCTTGTAGAAACCTAGCTTCAATGGACTCTGGCTTAATGCTTATCTTGGACTCTCAAATAGATAGAGATAAATCTCTAAGAGCTTTATCTTTATCCAGACTGAGGTTCTTCTCCATTCTAGGACTCTTATAACTTATCCGTTTATCCCGGACTCCGGCATCCCCGCAGATAACCTCGGCCTAGCCGAGATCATCTCGGCGTCATGACCAAGACACGTGGCACCTTGGCTGGCATTTCAGTGCCACCTTGGCCACGTGTTGTTATTCAAAAAATATGTCCCCACAACCGCCCCCTAGGTTCTATCACCTCGGCATCCTGAGGTAATGGAACCTATATTATTTGACCATATAGAACTTTGGCTAAGCTTGCTCTACCCTTTATTACCGAGGTTATCACACATTGGCTTCCATATGACAAAAACTTCTGTGTGTTTGCATCAATGCTTTAGAACCAAGAACCAAGTTTTTTCAAGTTCTTTAGCCGAGATCGTCCCCCTAGCCGAGGTCTTTGCTTCATTAAATCAAGAACTTCAAGAGTTTCTACACGCGTATGAGCTGTCATGCACAATAATTCAACCGTTTTTCCACGCGTCTCTTCCTCATTAAACCGTACCTGACACGCGCCATTAAGTCGTATCGCTCTTGCGTGCGCCGTCTAACAAGCACGTCGTCCTAGGCACACTAATTGCGATTTGTCGCCTTTTCATGTTTTGACAAAAACACTCTCTCTCTCTTCGTCTTTTCACTTCACATTTTCTGATTTCTCTCTGTGCTTCAAGCTTTTCTCTCTCTAAACCACCATTGTCATCTTCCCAAAGCTTTCTGCAACCACTTCCGTTCACCTCCTCCGGCGAAGCTTTTGCTGCTTTTTTTGTTCACTGCCACCGTCTTAGCCCCGCATTATCTACACCGGCCTCCATTTCTTTGGTAAGTCAATATTCCCTCTTGTTTCAATTCCTTGTTTTACTTCAAACTTTGCTATGCTTGTATACTGCCATTGCAAATCTCTTCATGCTCTTAAATAGTGTTGAATTCCACCATTCGTCATCTGTTTCACGATTCTATCTTTGTACAGTCTGTTGCTGGTATACACACACATATACACACATGCTGACGTTCTTAATAGCTTGTCATTGTTCTTGATTTTGCTTTCTGCGTTCTGAACCAAACACATACTCGTTATTCTGCCACGGAACTTGGCTTTGTATATCTGTACTTCTATCATTAAAATGTTCTTGAATTTCTTGTTCTGTCTTCTTGAGTCTGAATCATGTTCTTGTTTCTATTTTCTTGCTGCATTTTGCCAGATTCTTGCCTCAAATTTCCTATTTTCACATAGTTTTTAGGCTTGGGTTTTGATAGAAGCCATTATCCCTAGGAAAATTGGAACAAATTTCCCTAGATCCTAAAAAGCCCTTGCCCTTGCTTCTGTTCTGAGTTTAAGCCGAGGTCCCTCAAACCTTAACAATCCAATTCCTTCTGAAATCCAACACCTTCCTATTTAGCCGACGTTATGGGTATGTTCAGGTGGAGGGTAGACACCCCATCTAAGCTAGCATACTTTAGGCAGGAGTTTGCCATCCCTACCGACATTCACCTTAGTTTGGCTGGGGAGGAGGACTCTATTATGCCAAAAGACGACTCCATGTCATTCCCAGTTGTAACCTTCATAGAGTGTGGACTTAGGCTCCCTTTTGACATCCTCTTCCAAGAAGTTCTTCACTGTTATAAACTCAACCCAATACAATTAGCCATTAACTCTTACAGAGTCATCAACAGTATCATTGCCTTAGCTAGCTGAGAAAATGCTAGGGTAACTCTAGCCGATATCCAGTATTGCTACACCATGTGTGGCCTTAAGTCAGAAAAAGGCTACATTTACTACCTTAAGCCGAGGTTAACGGAATACAAATTCATCGCCGACTTCCCTGATTCCAACAAGGGCGTCGGGGATGATTATTTCATCGTCTCGGGCAACTGGGAGTTCCTTCCAAATGATGACCTTCACCTCTACCCTTTAAGCCGTACATTGTTCAGAGAGAGAGATGGTAAGAGCCAAGTGTTACTTTTACTTGCTTCTCAAGTCTTTAATACTTTGTTCCTTCTAAATGTTCTAATGTCTGTTTTTTCCTTGCAGCTCTTCCTCAAGCTCCAAAGGATTTTCGCAAAAACTTCTATCCCAGCAAGGATTTCAAAAAGCTATTGGGTCTACTAGTTGACCAGCGAAAAGGCCCTTTGCCGCTCAACTGCATCCTGACTTACAAATCTGTACTTCCCGACGTCCCAAGAAAAAGCAAGTCTCCTCATTCAGTAATAACTCCTCAAGCTGAATTATTAAGGCCTGACCAAGGATCAACATCTGGTCTTATGGAGCAACCATCAACCTCTGCTCCACAACTAATCCCACCGTCTCAACACCAACGCCGACGTCGAACTCCACTGCACGCACCAGCAGGCAAAACTCAAAGCCGAAGATGCTGAAGTGCCGAGTTGTCCTCATACGATCCAGCCAACCCCCCAACTGCTCTTCCAGCGATCCATTTCGGCACTAAGGTCACCGTTGCCGTTTTCGCTGAGGAGATGGGTCGTAAAAAGGTTGTAGCAGACAACCTTCTAGCCGACATCCCCAACACCGTCACCGTACAATCTTCACTATCGCAATCTCAGCCAAAACCAAAACCAAAACCAAAACCAAAGAGGCTGAAGAAAGCCCAAGCAAAGGCAACGGTAACTCAGATTGATTCTGAGGATACCTTGCCGATCTCAAAGATGGCCGAGGCGGAAAAAAGTGCCTCTGCCCCCGAAAAGAGGCCCGCAGAGGCTGCTCCCTCTGAATCCGCCCGGTCAAAGAAGCCGAGGTCAGAGTCTGCTACAACCTCTGGGTCCCTAAAATCTGATGCCCCTCTAGGCCCCTCCAATCACCATTGAGGACAAGCCAGTTGGAGTCGGCGACAACGCAATTGACATTGAAGTCGGTGTTGCTCTCTCTAACGCCTTGCTCCTTCCAAAAGACCTTGATCACAATGCCGAGGTCAACGAATATGAAAACTTCGCTTTGATGTTGCAGCACTCTGTACAAGTAAGCCCCTAACACTTGGTACTTTTCATTCTTTGATTTTCCATACTTAGAGTTTTATTAACTTTTGTTTTGTCCATTTCTTCTAGGTGATCTAGCACGCCCACTCTTTCGCGATGCAGGCTTTCGACTTTAAGAAGGAGTTGGTCAACAAGACCAAGGAGGCTGCTGGTTTGCTGAAGATTGTCAATAAGGCCGAGGCCAAGATGAAGACGTTGATAGATCAGGCTAAGGCATCCAAACAGGCCCAAAGTGAGGCCAAGGAAAGGGCAGGCGCTGCTGAGGCCATTGCTAAGGTCCTTGAAGCCGAGAAGAAAGAGGCTGAAGCAAAGACCGCCGAAGCCTAAGTCGAGCTCATTGCTGCCTTGGCCACAAAGGACGCCGAGATCAAAGCAACGGACGAGAAAGTATACGCCAAGGGGGCAGCCGACATCGGCGAGGACTACAAAAAACAAGTCATAGAGGCATGCAACAAGGGCTTCACCCTTGGTTGGATAGCCTCTCTGAAGGAGTTGGCTATCCCCGAGGACTCTCCTCTAAGGGACGTAAGTTGACTTGTGGTGCCATTCCCACCCACTTCAAGCCAATATGAGGCAAAGGCTAAGGAAGAAGAAAAAGAGGAAGAAGGAAATGAAGTCGAAGATGAAGAGGCCGAGGTGGTCGTTACTAAAGATCCTGCTGGGGCCAAGTCTCAAACTTTGAATGAGCAAGTAGGCTTGACTTAGGATGATGAAGACGAGGTCTCAAAAGGTGCCTCCTCCCAGAAGACATCATCCGAGGTGCCAATTGCCGAGAGGAGCATTGATCAGCCTTTACGAGAGATCGACGCTGAGCTCGAGGCTAAGAAGGCTACAGAAAAGATTCCCCAATTGTCTTCTGGGGCCAAGACGTAGCCCGCCACCGACGCCGAGTAGTCTTGTTATTGACTCTTTTTTTGTACTTAATAATTTCTTGAACAATGTTTTTAGTTTTCATATTTGGCCGACGTGCCACTTTTTCTAATCAGAACAAGTAGTCTTTTTGTAGGCCGAAGTGCCCCTTTTTCTTCTTTTAATGCAAGTACAAATTCTTCTTTCAAGTGTTTGTATGTTTGTCTTCTTTGCTATCTTGTATGATTCCATACTTAGAATAATTTGCATGTCTTCAAAGTACACCTTAACTATGCAATTTCCTCGGGGTAAAATATCTCAGATATACCCATTGACTATTTATCTTGGCCTTGCCTTAATACTTGAAAACATTTTGCAGAAATATTTTCACAAGTGTTTATTTAAAACTTACTACTTCACTTTTAGTTATTTTCCCAAGTCTCGGCAACATGGTAATCTCGGCAAGTACGCATATACTTCTTTCAACATAGCCTCGGCTAAACTTCAACTTGTAAATTTTTCTTGAAATTTCAACAAGTGTAAAACCAATTTTAGCTTGTAAATTTCAACTTCTAAGCATTATTCTCCAACTCTTTACCCCCTAATGTGAACTTAAGTTTCACTTATGTTCACATTAAGTATGTACCTATGATCTTGTCGCCGAGATCAGATTCAAACAGAGACTGGCCGAGGTTATCAACCTCGGTCTATGACATGTATTTAGTGTCATTCAAAGTTTTCATT